ATATATATATATTAAAATTTTTAATAGGAAAGATTAAAATCGCACAATTATGATATTTGAGGGACTAAAATTGTTCAATTAAAAATTGAAGGACTAAAATTGCACAACTTCAATCCTTTAGGGATTAAAATTACCTAATTAAAATCTTAAGGATCAAAATTGCACAATTGTAATATTTGAGGGATCAAAACTGCAATTAAGCCAAATTTTAAAAAATTATTACTTAACGGTTCTTAATTAATACGGGCTCAAGCGGCTTCTATAACATTAAAAAAAAAAAAAAAAAAAAAAAAAAAAAAAACTTTCCAAACGAGCTGAAAACCAACCCATGATCTTATTTTTATAGATCCAACATAGGCCTAAGGTCGAAGGACTCACTCTCTTTGTTTCAGCCGAAGAGATCAAACAAGCGCATGTCGTAATAAAAGCCCAAATTGGCAAATTAAATTGAGAAACTAATATTCTTAAATATAAAAATATATTTTAGATTTAAGAAAAATATCTTAAATTGGGATATAATTTTTTTTAAAATTAAAATGGATAGACACTTAGAAAATTAAGTGTATAAATAAAGGGTTGTTTGAGATATATAATTGGGAGTGTGTGTAAATTGTGCCTTACAAGGAGATGAAAGAGTAAAAAATATCTATTTGGGAGTTAAGAGATTTTAATTTATAGTAAGTAAATTCTTTTTTAGTTTGAGTTTTATGTTATGTTTCTTTATCATGTTGAAAAGGCAAATACTTGATTGAGTGGGGAATATTCTGAATAAGATTGAGTTAAATAAGATTGGTTGTCATGATGTCAAACTTTAAATTATTTTGATCAATATTAGTTGAAAATACTATAGTTGAAGCTAAGTCAAAGATAATCTAATTGAGGCCGAGTTGAAATTACTTTGACAAGAATTAACTTAAAAATTCTCTAATCACAACCAAACGTCGAAGATATTATGGTCCTTGTCGATCTAAAATTACTCTATTTGGGCCAAATTATGAATACTTTGATTGAGGTTGAACTAAAATTACTCTATTTAAAAAGAACTAGCTAGAAAATAGTAATAAAATACTTTATGCGTCTATAATTGATTAAGAAATAAATATCTAATCATAATTAACCATTCAATATATTAAATTACCAAATTTTAACTTAAATAATAAAATAGTCAATTTTATAATCAAATTTTATAATAGCCATTAAATTTTATAATCAAATTTAATGAAATATATTTTTAATTCTTCAGTAAATTTATTTTTATTCCTTAAATTTAATTAATCTTTTAATCTATATAATATAACTATTATAAAACCAATTACATATAATATAATAATCAACTAATATGAAACCCGTAAATTTGCTTGCCTATAAGGGAGAACAATCAAAGAGAAATGTTAAGTATTTATAAAATTTTGGGAGTAAAAGTGTTGATAAATCATTAAAGTTACCGATACGATTATGGCCACAGAAAGAATGGTGTTAATTGTTATAGATGTATGAACACGTACGTTGAAAAAATCTTGATGCCGACATACGCATGACGTACGACACCGTCAAGAAAACCTTGATTTGTTGTAAAGGCCGATGAAAATGCATGGATGTCCCCTCGCAAAACGTAATCCATGACTTTGGCACTTGACAATACTTTTATTGGACCCAACCAAGAGGAAAATCGGTTTCATACTTTCAAAGTGTATGTTTGTTATAGTTACATTTTTTAAAATACGTTATAGTCATAGAGACAGCAAATTAGGCCTAAAAGGCTGCAAAGTCACTTCTCAATTATGGGACACTCATGCAAACAGCACATTAGGCCTAAACAATATGTGTTCTTTGTGCTACCATGAAATTAAGTCCCGCGTATAAAATTAGGATATACAAACCGACGCGTCAAACTTGCATTAAATGATATCGTACCTAGCTGCAACACGCGCTAAAATTGACATGACTGCACATGCAAGGAAAGCACCTTCGTGTGTGTTTCCTGCACCCAATATTCCCATTCAAGGTAACCTTTATAAAATCCACATATATACTATACTCTACAATCATCACTAGTACTGAAACATACCAAATTATATAGTTTGTTTCAACTTTCAACACTAACTGAAGCTAGCTACCACACATTGTACGTGACTATTGTCATTGTCAATATTGATCAAGAACGTTTGAAGAACAAGTGATGGAGGTTGCAAGGAATAATAAGAAGAATCTCAAGTCTATGATCACAAAGGTGCTAAGGGGTCTTCAATTCTTGGCACCGAGTGGAGCACATTCGAGGAGAGTTTGTTATTTGAGTGACATTGATGAGGAGGAGAAGGAAAATGCAACAAAGGTGCCAGAAGATGTTAAAGAAGGACATTTTGCGGTTATAGCAATGCATGGTGAAGAAACCAAAAGGTTCGTTGTTGAGTTAGATTATTTGACTGATCCTGATTTCTTGAGGCTGCTAGAACAAGCAAAGGAAGAATATGGCTTTGAACAGAAGGGTGCACTTGCAGTACCCTGCACCCCCCAAGAACTTCAGCAGATCATACAGAATCGACTACGTAATTAATTAATCAACACTTCTGTCCATATATGTTAAGCTTAATATTATACAGATCTATTGATCATACTTTTTCTTTCATTTTGTTTTTCCCTTTTTTCGTAAACATGATTACAATTTTGAGCAAAGGTAAGGCATCTAAATTAAAAGGGATAGCTCTACCAATTGCCAATACTTTTTTTTTTTTTTTTAATCTTGAACATATGACATTGTTTGTGTGACAACTTTTAATATTCCAGCAATATTACAGAAAGGAATACAATTGGTCTTGCAATCCCCCGTGTTACTTTTTTCAGATGCATAGTTAAATTAATTTGTTGCATATTATGGAAAGTGAGTTAGCATGAAAATGTTAATCCTCATTCCTCATTCAATGCTTGAGTGTTACAATGAATGCGATGGAAGTGGAACTAGCTAGCCAGCTAGCTAGTATGCGTGTGGCATTCATCTTTCTGACAAGTCATTCAGAAATAACATGAAGCTAACTAAGCAAGTGCAGGTGTATAGATAATACAACGATTGTAATGTTGACCACAATCGTGGCCAAAAGGAAAAAATAATATTCAACAAAAGAATATCATTTATTAGCAGATAAAAAAAATCGTGTTAAAATTATCTCGTTAAAAAAAAAATAAACTATATATAGTAAGTTTTATGCATTCCAACTAAATATGTTATATTATATATGTTTTTTTGTTTAATAAAAAAAATACAATATATTTTGTGAATACGTATTAAAAATAATTTATAAGACTAAAAAGAATGTGAGCGTCAAAAGATGGGAGAAAAGGGTGATAGAAAGTTGACAGTGATTGACTATGGATGTATAAGTGAGAGTCACTTTTCCATTCTTTTTGAAGACTGGTGGCTGTATCACATGCAACGGTTTCCTCTTACGCGTCAACAAACCAACAAGTATATTGCACTTCTTTTCAAATATATTGGAATTTTTTCATGAAAAAAAAAAAAAAAAAACTTGATTTAGCCGTAGCCCCGTCCGTACCCTTTGTTATTGTGTTAAAGGAACAGTGTAAAATTGTGATTTGTTCGTACACGTGAAACTTCTCGGAATTTTCGAAATTGGAAATGTTATGTTAAGAAGAAAATAAATAAAGAAAATTGTGGCGACACCGCCGGGAGAGAGATGCATATATGATTCGAAAATAGTTTATGAATGATTAGAATTAGGTCATTTCAGGTCCAGTTGTCATATCTTTTCAGTTAACTCGTATATATCCTCTTTTCGTACGCAAATTTTCAATACAAAATTGATATGGAAATTGCTTATTAGTTATTAGTACATAAAGAAGGATATCTCAATAGTACAAATTTGTGACTAATTAAATACGTAATACTGCTCATTATCCATAATTTTCTTTAACAATCCAATTCTTTCTCTTTTTAATTAATTTACATTTGACCCAATCATATATTAAAACATGCATTTCGTAAAATTTCTTGCACTACAAACTCTCCTACTATTCTTGGATCAACGAACTACAGCATACTTAGTTTTCTTTATTATTGGTTGAAAAATGTTTTCAATATAAACTAAAATAAAAACAATTAACCCGTTTATGAGTACCTTTATCGTTAAAAAAATAATGTAGAAACGAGTTTATGCTCCTTCATATCATATCCTATAATATTTGTGTTGCTGAATTAATGGATACGAATAATTATAAGAATAATAGAGTAATTAAGAAAGATAGTCGATTCTATAAAATAAAATAGTATTTTTTTTCATTCACTTTTCTTTTCTCATTATCAAAAGAAGAGGAGAGAAAATACATCAAATTAAGTATGTTGTTAGCTTAAGTATTAAATATATTGATATTAATAATTATATTAAATATAATCACTAGTTATAAGTTAACAAATAATATTTAAATAGGTCAGTCCATCAATCTGCTAGGTTTTTTTTAAAAGATTAAAGAATGAGGTTTGTAGTTATAATTAAAATGACTTTCTAAAAATTATAAAAACATTTGTTTTTTTTTAATAAATAGGGTTAGTCAAGTCTTAAATAGGTTAAGTTATGAGCTCCTAACAAATTACCAAACTTATTTTTATCTCTAGTGTTGGCCAAGTTGTTTTTATTAAGTGTAGATCTCCAATGTCAAAATTTAATTTAAGTTAACATTGGTTAGGTAAACACTAACGTTAGTATCGAGTGTTAACCCATTTTAATTTGATATTGCTTTTAATTTAGTACTAATAAGGAAAAGGAAACACTAGTAAATAGGTTTGACAATTTTAATATTATATTATAAAGTGAATGTTAAGTCACAATATTTGGACCGACATACTAATTCATGTTTTTCTTAATAGTAATTTCACTTTTAATTAATAACTTTTGTTTTTATTAGTTTTATTGTTAATTTTAGTATTGAAATAACATTCTTATTAGTTTACTCTTGTAAAAACAAATCTTAGTTTACTAAGTAGTTAAAGAAAGAACCCATTAGAGAGAGGATAAGCAATGTACATCTGGTCATCCTGGATTCGAGACAATACCGAACTTTTATCTTGTGAGAAGATGAACCCAAGCAAAAAGCATATTTTGATTAATTTTCTGAGTGAAAAATGATACTTCACAAATCTAATCGGTAAATTTCTGAGTGAGAAATGATACTTCACAAATCTAATCGGTAAAATTCCGATCCATATGACATGCTAGAAAATTTTCTAAGTTAAAAATGATACTTCGCGAAACCACTTGGTAAAATTCCGATCCATATGACATGCTAGCA